TGTAAGATAAAGGGTTAAGAGGGCCCTGCTCATGACAGCTTACAATCTAAAAGGGAAGGGCAAGCGATACAAAAAGGTAGTAACTGTGTGGGGATGATTCGATGGAGAAGACATTATAGGCAATCATATAGCGCCCTTAATTTATACAGAGCTCTACATACTGGACATTTACAACAGTCCCTACCCTGAAGGCGCTAACAATCTAAGGTCCCCATCCATATACACACTAGGGTCAATTTGGACAGGAACCAAATTACCTACGAGCATATCTTTGGAGTGCAGGAGAAAACTGGAGTACCCGGAGGAAATCCATGCAAGCACAAGGAAATTCCATGCAGAAAACCACATATAGGTCAGTGTCCTCACTGGGATTAAAATCGAGGATTCCAGTGCTACAAGGCAGAAGTGCACACCATAAAACCATTTTTCCACAGTTATCTAAGGACCACAGAGCTCCCCTCATTATAGAAAATAAGAGGGGGAGGTGTTTTTTGGTCTTGTCCTAGGTGACAATGCTACTTCTCCCTGGATACAGTGCGCAAGCGCCGTTACCGTAGGACAGGAAGTGTGTTTCTGGTAGGATCACCAGGTCAAAAAAAAAAAAAAGGAAATGAAAGAAGCCACCACACATATGGACAGGTAAGTCACCATATAATACATTTTGTTTTGGGGTTTAAAACCCAAGAACAAAATGTATAATATATTACACAAGGAGTACCTTGACAATCTTCTGTATAAGATACACACTGCCACCATTTTCTAGCATCTACCAGCTCCAGATAGCATTGTCACTTGTCTGTGCAGTGTATACAGCTCGCAGCCTTTGTACTCCATTGAGATTGCTATCAGTTAAGGATTCTGTCTCCATTTCAATTCATCAGGTCTGGACATGAGCTGCCCACAAGCACTGGAGATATCTATAGCCACAAGCTGAATTTGATCAAAAGCTTCTGATATGCTAATTGCCCCCTCCTGTTCCCCCACAACTGAATGGATTACAGACATGCTGATAGTCTAGGAATCACATGTGGATTCCCATAGTAGAAAGAAAAACACAAAAACACCCAATTTAAATGTGGATATAGTTTCTACTAAGGAATGTTGTGTTATGTTAGTAGAAACATCACATAGACATCAACATTATTACAATGGCACATGACCAGAGGCATAACCTAATTTGTCAACATGCAATGCGTTTTTGGCTGATCAATGGCATTTGCATGAGAACCTAGAGGGCCCTTATACAGATTATCTCTGTCGCAGAGCACAGAATGAGTTAAGCTGCCCATACATTACAACTATAGATTATCTGCAGATTTTCTATAGAAAAAGGGCAACAGATTCTACACCTATGCCAAATTGTGTAATGGAGGAATCTCCGACTGGGCCAAGCTTCAGTAGCTTGCTAGTTGGCCCAGCCTGCTCTCAAAATATACGAGCAATCTGATTGGATGCAGGCATTGTTCAGGTGTTTTGAGAGCCAGCGGGGCCGACTAGCAAGATACTTAAGCTTGGCCCAATGGGAGATTCCCCCATCCACACAGTTAAGTGTAGATGGAGGAATCTGTTACACTTTTTCCATCTGACCACAGAAAATCTGCAGATAATCTATAGGTGTATGGCCAGCCTTAGACTTGTAATGGTCACAAGCCACATTGCTATACATCTATAACGAGCGTATCTAACTGGTCACATGCGACTAAACGTGGCCAGGGCTGTTCTCCAGTTGATAAGTTACACTTCCTTACATAACATTTGAAGTTCATATACTTCAGGACATTCTTTGTGTAGCTCTTTTTCTCTGGGGTAACATTTTGTAAGTTGCAATTGATATAAACCACAAAGTTGGCTACAATGTTAGTTACCAAGGTGCTATAATCTTTTTTGAAAGTATGCAGCCCCTTTATCATTAATTTCACTCCATTCAGCCCAATGTTACATTTGCGTTCCACATCTTGATCTGCAAGTACTGAACTACTGTAGACGTGGGATAAAAATAGGGGGTAGGAATATTGATAGTAAAAGGAATAAATTCTAGCAGTGATTTCAGAAGTCACGCTAGGATTTTGTAGGAACAACATACAGGCTGGTGACTTGATGCCGAACTTATTTACCCGACTGTTATTTTCCTTTGAGGCAAGGACGGTGCCAGCAGACCAGCCATTCTTTACATTCTATTCAGTTCCTAATGCAGGCAATGTCATGTGACTCCATGTTTTGAAACCTCATGAATCAGATTGGCCTTGGGAAAAGAGAGACCTCTGACCCCATAGGGTGCTTTAAGAGAATTCTTCACAACAAAAAGTGCATGCTGTGCAAGAGGTTGTGTGTACAAGAGCGCTGTCTCTGAACAAAAAGTCTGTAGATCATATGCAGAACATGGAGATTGGATGCTGCGTGTGATCACCTGTGACAAAATCATGTTAGTGTTCATTGAAACAAAACATATTTGCACCAGCTAAATTACAGATGGTCAAATACAACTCTTCTGGCTTACATATTTTTTTCCTGTAGGATGAATAAAGATGTTTACCTTACTCGCATATCTATGCATAAAAACACACACTACATCGCTTCCTGCTGATTTAGTGTTTGTTCAGCTATGTGCCATCCACATAAGGCTACATTCACACTATGTGCAGTGACGCCTTGCCAGTAAAATCCTTTTTTGGGAGTACAGTACAGGACACAGGCAATTCATAGACGACTGGGTAATATGCAAGTATCATCAAGTGATTGGACACTGGCCAGAGCCTCCCACTCCAAGAAATCCTCAGGTTTCTTTTTAAGCAAGCAGTAGCGGGGAGGGTGCTGCATCATATACTGTATGCCAAGAAACAGATTTTACTGGTTCCTATGTTCAGACAGTACAGGACACAGGCAATTCAGAGACAACTGGGACATCCAAGAGCAATAAAACACAGCAAACAATTACAATCAGGCCAACATAAAGGAAACAAGGGGAACCCCAACTTCAGACAGCAGCCTGTAGCACCTTTCGGCTTAAACTAGCATCAGCAGGGGTCCAAACTTTCACCTTGTCGACCCTACAAATCTGCAAAACTAATGCTTTATGCCAAAAAGCCCCAGAGGCACTGCCAGATCTCGTAGAGTGTGCCTTTACAGGAAAAAGTGGAGGCAGGCCCTTAGCAGAATAGGCACGCACAATGACCTGTTTATTACACCAAGAAATGATGGAACGAGATGCAGAGAGCCCCCCTGTAAGGCCCTTCAGAAAAGGCACTAGCAGGCAGGCTAGTGTGAACGTATGCAACAGGTAACACAAATAGTCACTGCAGTAGCACTGTAATTGTGTACAATGACACATGATCGCTATAAGCATGCAGATCTCCCACAGAGCAGAAAGCAGCATGTCGACCCCGGCAGTGCAACTTGAAAACAGCCCCTACAGTGCAATCAGGATTCACACCTCAGCTTTGGCGACTGAGACAAGAAACAAAAATAAGAATGTAACCCCAGAGTCTTGCACCCTTAAAAAGGAGACATTCACTTTACCAAACCCCCCCCCTATAGGCCCACTAACTGTGAAGGGTTTTGTCCCTCTGCACTTACTACTCCATAACAGTATAAGGCTCCCACTGTGTACATCCTCAGCCTGAAAGATTCTGCGACATTGGCTGCACCTTCCCAATAACTCTCCGTAGGCTTCAATGGAAACATATTCTAAGGTTCTCTACCACTGGAGTGTGGCCCTAATTAAAAGGTGTATTGGGAGTGAATTTCAAGTGAGGCCAATGCAGGAGAAGATTTTGAGCCCCTGGATGGAAGCTGGAAGAGGCCACTGCCTTCATAGAGAGGCAACAGATATAATGGACATCTAGATCATGCTCTGCTAATGGTGGTGCATTGGAGACTAACTTCAAACTGTTATCTAGATGGTATATGGTCCCTGCCTGTATCACTACTTCTGCACCAAACTATTTCCCTAGATGCTATTGTGGCAGATTGCACCTTGGCACCCATCTACAATGCCCAGTAGTCTCCAACCTCTAGACATGAGTTCTCTGTCTCATCGCAGTACTCATTTGTAAGCTTCTACCTAAAGACCCGGCAGCTGCTCTTCTCTACAATGAAGCAATGTTTGCAGGGCTGCCCACCAACCACCCTTTCCCAGTTATTACCGCTCATCCGCTGATCCCTTCTCCACTCTTTCACTTTCTCTGCTATTTCTGCTAGAACCGACCAGTGCTTTTTCCCCTCCATTACTCTTGGGCTCACCATCTCCTGAGCGACCCTCACTCTAATCCCAATGATTGCACCAATGTCTACTTGACTTGCAATCATGCCTACATAGGACTATTTTGTTGTTACACACTCTTATTACTTATAGAATGTGACTTCTGTAACCTATGCACTTATATAACCAATGTGCCTTGGTGGACTGTAAACTCTTAATACAAATATTTATATAGCGCCAACATATTCTGCAGCCCTGTACATTCGTTTAGGCAAGACAAGTAAGAAACACTGACAAGCATCATTGACATACAGAAACAGTTGGTGAAAGAGGACCATGCCCAAAGACGAGCTTACAGTCTAAGAGGAAGGGACCAAAGACAGAAGTGGGGAAGAGGAGACTACAGATGTATACCAAATAAAAGTAGGAGGGGATTTGGGAGTACTGTGAAACGGTAGCAGAAGGGAAGGTTGTATAGCCATTTCTTCTTTGAATAACGCAATAAACATTAAAAAAAAAACAGCAATTTTAACCCACCCTCAAGTCCTTCAAGCAGAAAAAAAGAAAGTCACACAACTCTCTGTGGTGAGTGTAGTTTTTATTGAGTCAGTCACTATTTACAGTCAGTTCCAGTCACAGGTCTATTTGTTGTTCTAAATGCAGACATTATTGATCAAAAAGGACTCTAAGCCACTAATGGTTCAATTTATGCACGGATCAAGGAAAAAACAAAGAATATTTCCTACGTAATGAACTGTACAATATTAACTTTAGGAAAGTTAATTAACTTTTCCCATTTCAATTCTCTTTAAAACAAACTGCCACCCACAGTGTGTGGGCAGTGGAGGCAGACGAGGTCCCTCCTGAATGTAGTGTTGTACGACACTGCAGTGTTTGCTTGAGGCAAGTCACTTTGCAGTGATGCTTCTGCATAATTTAGTCTCCCATGAGAATGTAGCAGTAGTTTCATTTTTAAACTATCATCTGTACACAATCCAAACCGTTAAAAGGCTAATTAATATGACAAAAGGGGGGTTTACTTCACGTTATAAATTAACAATTGAGACATACTAATGCTTTACACCTTTGGAGGAGAAATAGAAATACATATTACGGAAGGATAGTTAATGCTGATAGTTGTTGGTGGAGGTGCACATGCTTTGCATTTGTTTAGCAGGACTAGATACATTGCCTTTTTCAGTGCCACCGATGAAGATACCTGCAGGGCTTTCATAGCATTTTAAAGATGAGTCATTTAAGGCAAAGAGATCTCTTCACTAAAAGCATTACAAGGATTAAGCCTGAACCCAACATTCAGTCTCTTATTTAACTCTAGACTCACAAGGGATGAAGGTAGAAATTAGGTAGAAAGTAGACAGAGCTCTATGTTCCAAGAGCCTTAATTACTAATATCAGAATCAAACATCAGAAAAATAGATGAAACAGATGACATTAGGTGCTTAGAAAATGCTGGTCTAGTTTGCTGCATGGATGATGTTTTCAAGGAGCAGCAGATATATGTGAATAAAATGTATCTACATAAATAGACCTCTATAGCATAAAAGGGAGAAAGTCATGATGCCACACAAAAAGCAGCTTGGTCTTAAAACACTGCCCAGTAAGCTGCGTTTAGATGCCTGCTAGAATGGGGTTCAGAGCAATGATTTCATCACAATGCTGCTTTACTTCACTAATAATCCTACAGCAAAACACCAGGTGCTAATGGTAAAACCTACAAATCATCACCCCAAAAAAAGAGAAAACCTATTAAAGTGATAAGCTGAGGGTAGAGAATAGTCCAGAGGGGCAGACTTGACCCACTGTAAGACCCTAACTGAGAATCAGCAGTATAGAAACTACTTCAGTAAAGGAGAGTCCTATCCCGATGCTGCCTCCTTAGGAACAAGGGCTGAAGGATCCGAAGCACAAAGGGCAAATTCAATTCTTTTCACGCATAGGTGCCTCCAGTGATTAGGAGTTCATAGGCAGGATCACGAGTTCTTCTGCAGAGGACAATACATGCACACAGCATCCCCAGGAGCTAAAACACAAAACAAGAAATCATATATATTAAAAGGATTGCCGACATTCTCTTGAGCTCATAAAATGCTTAAGTGATATATTACTATGGCTCTCTCCCTACAAGCATTCACAATATACAAGGGTGACACGGCAGGTACTCAATGGCAGGATCACCAGGTATTATTTGAATGTAAACTGAAGATTACAAAGCCATATTAGTAATGACACTGGGATGTTTAAGCTTCTTTGAGACTTTAGTGATTTACATACTTCATGTATTTCACATTCTCAGGACATGTGTTAGTAACCTTCTGTTGTATTACTGAACAGGAAAGAAGTTGTGGACAATTACCCTCCAGCATTTAGCAGTTTCAGAAGCCTTTTCACACTTTTAAATGGTTATAGCTTTTTCAGAGGCCATTGAGGTTTGTTTCACTGTTCACACAATGGTTTATGACAGCCAAGATGTGTACATTTAATATAGTTCTGGAATATGCAAGTACTCATGTGAAACTTGAACCCCGGCAAACAGAGATGGTATTGAGTCTTTTATTAATATAGGAAGCCAGACCTGTTATACAGGTTCCTAACAATCCCAAATATGCGTTAGGGATTTTACTGCCCAAGTCATTGAAATACTTAACCGTGAACTTGTTCACGCTCACTCTGGGTGAAGGTGTATTTGTTTCAAGAATAAATGGCTTGGTGTTCATGATATACCCTTTATGAATAGGCTTTTGTGGATTTAAAAAGTGAAAAGAGGGATTGTTTATTGCTAAGTGATAATGGAAAAACTTTGAAGGAACCAATCCACAGCTCATTCATATAGTCTGTAGGGAAACTACATAAGGGGGAATTTATCAAGGCTGGAGCTGACAGAATCTGCAGCAGCTACCAATCAGCTTCTCTCTTCAGTTTGTTAAGCTTTAACAATGAAAGACAGAAGCGGATTGGTTGCAGTGCAAAGCTGCTCCAAAGTTTTTCTGCCAAAGTTTTAATAAATCCCCCTCATGATGCTTTAAAAAAATTTATGCCAGAGGGGACCATTCTAAACATACAGATGCCTTGCAGTGCTTTTTGAAAATATCTTGCAGAATGCAATTTTAGATCCACTTGCAATGTATCTGAAAACACATGGCAACAGATGTAAATCTAAATGTCAAGTACCCCTAAGCAAAATGCTATTAAGAGCACAGTAGAAAAAAAGAAACTAACACTCTACCAAAGAACAAATCATCCACAGGACCGAACGGAGATTACAACATAAGCCGGTTCAGCAGAGAAGATTCCGACAAGCTTCTCTATGCCACACCACAATCAGTGACAGAAGAGTATAGGACGGGAAAGGGGGGGAGCTGAGGGCAGGGTGCTTTAAAAAATAGGTGTTAAGAATATATCTACATACTTTAGTACCAAAGCCATTTCATAATACAACATTGTAAAAGTGCTCTATAATATATTATATGTAAACAATGCAATATACAGTAGTACAATCCAACGCTCACCTGTATAGCAGCAAATGCTAGTGCAGCCCATATAACATACATCATAATTTCCTGCAGTTTCTCCACAACTAGTGCTTCACAGCCCTGAAACAAAACACATGAATGTGATTAAAGACAATCCCAATGATACAGTATCATGTGTATATGCATATATACATAGATACAAACATAAAAAGACAAAAGCAACAAAGCGCCACCTCTTTGTGTAAAATCTTTTTTTTTTATGTGGCTAATAAAAACGGTTATAAATACTCACAATTATAAAATTATTAGAAAATAGGAAATATAATGTTGCCGAGTAATATGAAGTGGTAAGACAAATACTAGTATATCACGGCTCTGTACAAATGACTACCAGTTTCTACAATCTCAATACAAATGAGTAAGCTAAAACGTGAGATTGTAGTCCATCACAGGAGTTAGCTTGGAGCGGTGACTACTTTACAACACACACAGGGACCATGGGGAATAAAAGTATCCACCCTCCAGAAGGAAGGACGGTGTCAGCACCAATTCAGAGGTGATTTAAAAAAGGACCTACAGCCGAGTGATACACAAATAAGATAGTTTTGTTCATAGTTAAAAAGGTGCTTATATGCATTTTTAAGATTTAACTCCTGAGTTAATAATTTTAGAAACTTCTTTTGACTTTGAGCACTGCCAGCACAGGCACCAGGCATCTGGCATTTTCATAAGGTGAAAAGCAAAGACAGTTGCCATATTTCTCTCATGATGGGTGTGGTTTTCCTGTACTGTAGTTTTTTTGTTGTTTTACAGTACAGCAAGGTAAAAAGGTCTCATCTTAAATGACTGGACGTAATATTTACAGAACAGAAATAAGTGGCAGTGCATGTAGTTGATATGGACAGGATTTGTTTTGTAAACAAACCTGGATTTTTATAAAAGGTGGCATGTTTCTTGAAATATTTACAGAACTATTTAACACTGAATTTGCACATCTAACATGTCTGCTCTGGTCTTAGTAAATTCCCCTCTGTGTTTTTGTTCTGAATTTCTAAGCACGTGGTGTCAGCACTGCATGCTTAATTTCTGATGAACTATAAAAGACACAGATTTCCACATCAC